TTGTCATTTTACATCACTCAACCCGCGAAATACACACACTCAGTACATAGCCTACTGTAGCTAGACCCACGAATTCGCGGGCACATCCAGCTGTGCGGCTGGCTGCGGCACAGCTGTAGCTTGTGTGTGTGTGTGTGTGTGTGTGTGTGTGTGTGTGTGTGTGTGTGTGTGTGTGTGTGTGTGTGTGTGTGTGTGTGTGTGTGTGTGTGTAAATGTTTTGTGTGTGTAAATGTTTTGTGTGTGTTTATGTTGACAAGGAGGTTTAATAATTGTGTGCTAAAGAAAACGTGCAGTCGGATTCATTTTCATTGCCGTTTGTAGTAGAGTTAGCAGGGTATTTTTATTTTAACTATCGTCCCAAATTCGTCGCAAAATTATTTTTTTTCCTCCCCGACACTATTTTTTTTGACGACGGGACGTCCTTAAGCTCGAGCCCTGACTCCATTGTTTAATACTCTTGCATAGTGACATCATAATGCTCCAACACATTGTATGTGATAAACCCCTGTACGTAATCGTTATTCCGTTTTTTTTATGATTTGTGGAATGTTGTTAAGTTATAAGTTATTTGATGTATTTGACCTTTTTACTGTATCTCATATTGTTATGGAGGCCCTGTAACCGTATCATTTCCTAAAATGCAAAAAGAAAACAAAAAAGAAACAAACGCATGCACACATTCCCTGGCCTCACTAAACTCCCCCCCACCTGCAGCTGAGAGGTCCCCATACGGGCCCTCCCCTCTGGGACGACCTGCCTCTGAAACCAGAGCCTTCCTGTCTCCTCCCACCTTAATGGTCATCTCTAAGCAGTTGACCAGTCACAACAGAGCCGGCCAGCTAACCAATCAGAGCAGACTGGGCTCTTTGAACATTAAAGCATGGAGACATGTCACAAGAGTAGAGGCACAAAATAATAACATGAACCTGAAGATGAGCACAATTTGGCCCCTTTAACTCTCTCTCTCTCTCTCTCTCTCTCTCTCTCTCTCTCTCTCTCCAGTGTGGGCCCCTCTCACTCCAGGGATGTTCCCTCCTCGTTTCCCTCCCGGTCCTGGACTCCCTCCTCTTCACTACGCTCGGCCCCTTCCACCAGACGGCCCCCCACATCCCTCACTGGGTCTTCCCCCTCCTCAGCAGTCCCCCCCACACAGCCAGTCCCCACAGCAGCACCCCCCCTCGCCTGAAGACGCAATCTGAGCAGGTTTTCCACTTGGAGCTGTTCCTGGTTAAAGGTTAACTCAGCGGGCGGTGGATTTTCCATCGTTCTGAACATACTAACCAGGAGGATGTTTTAAATAAAGGTTGTCAGCGCGGGGGGAACCATCGGCCTTTATGAGCCCTTTTTTGTTTCTGTCTGTCTTCTGCACACTCTTCCTCCTCTCTTCTCTTTTCTCCAGCTTTATTCCCTGTGAACTAGTTCCTGTCGTTGTGGTGTGTGTGTGTGTGTGTGTGTGTGTGTGTGTGTGTGTGTGTGTGTGTGTGTGTGTGTGTGTGTGTGTGTGTGTGTGTGTGTGTGTGTGTGTGTGCGCGCGCGCGCATGAGAACCAGCAACGTTTGCTTTTATAAGGGTTAAAAGTGTGCATGTAGAAAGGCTGTGTGTGTGGGATATGTCAGAATTGGAGTGTTTTTACAAAAAATATATCAAGTAACATTTCATTCCGAGAAAATCAAAATGGCCCAAAGCTATACATTACTATAAGAAAGAAAAAATGGTTTTGTTGTACCAAACCTATAATGACACTGATCTTAAACTCGATTCAAATAAATCCGATCATGTCAAGTTTTGTTTTGTCCTAAATCTGAGAGGCGTATACTTCCAAAAAGAGACATTTTCTTAAAATATGATAAAGTGCATATCTGAATTTCCCTCCTGTGAGGATCGCTCCTTCATCGACAGCTTTGATTTCCAACAGCAGGGAGGAGTCAATGAAAGTGACTTGTGTATTCTGTCAGAGCGCTGTGACTCCTGCTGACCACCACGGGGAAGGGAAGGACTGGAAGAGAAAGACAAATAACACCCATGTGAATTTTGTAAAAAGTGATTAATAATAGATACAAATAAAGATTGTCAAATGATCAATGCTCTCATCTTTCAATATTGTATCAAGTGAAACGTGTTGTGCATGGAGGAACATCATCAGAGCCTTCATCTTATTGATCACAGCCATTGATCAATTTTTAAAGCCAGATTCAAACTTCTCAACAATTTGACGACTTAAGAACAGGTACAACAAATAAGGTTTGCTAGAATAATCTTTCTCAGTTCCTTTCAAAAAACCGTTTCTTAATGAATGCTTTGAGGAGCATCGAGTAGGATCACTGCAGCCTCTTGTGGCTACAATGACTATTACAACAACAATCCGTTTTCACAGAACAAGTGATTCTGCCTGTTCTTCAGTGATTAACACGGTACAGAAAAAACACTTAAAGAATTTATCACCAACAACTGTATTTCTTTCTTCATTTTAGGACTTGGTAGACCATAGAGGGTTTTCAGAGGAGACATTCTGTGTTCTTGCTCAGCGTAGAGAGGTCAGGGGATTCACCGCCGGAACAAGAGTCACTTAGGATATGTATTACTCTTTTGGGACAGTTGCTCCATTTAGGAATGTTTCTTTTGAAAACACAAGTTCAAGTAAAATGTCCTATAAAATAGAATAATAACATTAAAATAATCCAAAGATAAATATCCAATAAAATATGAAGTAAAATACAAGTATTAAATGAACATATACACTAATATTTAAATAAAAGTAATAGTAAGATAAAGTAGAATCAAAATATGAAGTAAAAACATTAAAAGTGATAGTAAAAATTTCCAATTAAATGGAATAATTGTACAGTATTTATATCAACATTAGAAGTTATGATTATCATTTCTTATAAAATAAAAATATGTATACAAAATAAAATGTATATAAAAGTAAAATGTTCAAATAAAATAAAGATATTTATATAAATATTAGAAGTTATAAATCCAATAAAAGAATACATTTTGAAAACATTTATTCATTAAGTTACATAAAGTAAAGTTACAAATATTAAAAAGAAAGCCTTTTTCAATTACAGCTAAAAGACAATACATTTATAAAACAACTTTTATTGTAAAACCCACACAATCAACACAAATATACCTGACACAATATTTAACATTAACAGTCAAAAAGGAAATCATTTTTTGATTTGAACATCCCCAAGAACCTAATGTTCAGAAAGCTGTTTAAGAAAAGAATATGAATACATGGCAGTTTGTTCAGACTCCGTTCTAAACCGTGGGCTGTATGTAAAGACTCAGTATGGTCCTAGTGATGGAAGCGTTTGCACGTTTACGAGCGATAATGCGATAACACGATAACACGTGATGTTTGAAGAGAGGAGGTAGATGCCTGTGAATACCAACTTTCAAATCATTTCAATTTTATTTCATTTGTCACTCAAGTTCCAAAATGATTTTGTTAGCATGACTCGTCGCTTTTTCATCACTGGTTTGCAATGAGCAGTCCTTAAAGGCTGTCATATCAGCCTGAGTGTATGCTATGCATATTACACTGCTTTACCTCGCTGCATCAGAACTTCCTTCAAAGCCCCCAGAAAAACAGGTCTACCTTCATTGGTTATTCAGTTTGTGGTATTGTGACTTCCTAGGTATCAAAAGATACACAATATACGACTACATGTCAAAAGGAAATATAAATCTTTATTTTTTCTTTCTTAATGTACTCACCAAGTCTGTCTTGGCTAATGTATGCACATTATTTTGTATATGTATCGCCTTATTTTCATTTTAACTATTGATCTCACTAATTCATCATTTGTCTCGACCACAATCACTGCAACCAAGGCGTCACAAAGCAATATGCAGCATGCAATCAATTCAACGTGAAGAGTAGGCACTGTGGAGTGCTGGGTGCAAAACGGTACACAAATTAGAAAAACAACAACATAATAAGTCTCATACAAGTCATTTAAACTGATCCACGTAAAGAAAGGTTTTAATGGCACAATTAACCACCGGTGTTTCCTATTATGGCGCCAGAAGCTTCCACAATCACCCTCTGGGTTTAGCGTTACAAATCCCACATTGTTTACAGTAACATGCAAACATCTGGATCATGTGAAAAGAAACGTTATATAAAAGTACTGAGGAGGACTATGGCCACATTGTGATCTGATCAAGTCAGAAGTTAAGACTTTTCTCTTAGACTTCAGATCCAAACTCAATTCAGAGTCCTAATCCTCTTCTGTATAAACACTCCATTATCCCAAAGTAAAACTGTGAGGTTCTTAAAGGCTCTTGGACAGCTGGTGCACACCATTTGACTCGTGGTGCGTGTGTTGAATGGCGTTCATGTCAGAGATGTTAGTTGTCAAACACATTTGTAAAAAAGACTGATCACATTCACTCTCGTTGTGAACACACCTTGAAAAGAAAACTGAAACCTGGGTCACGCAGTCATTTCTGAAGCCTCACCATGTGATGAACAGTTTCAGTGTTTCCGTCTCTTTCCTCCGATAATGAAGAACCGGTAAATGAAATATGAGTGGGAACGATGCTCCTCTTCCTGTTGTCCTGAAAAAGGGATTCAAACCCTGAGTCTTTATTGTGTTTGCCTGTTGGCACGAGAGGCAGCTTACCGACTGGTGTCGCTGTTCGCTAAGGAGTGCAGAGGATTGTGGGTAAGCTTTCATGTTTGCGGAATGAACTCTGTCCATGTGATATATTAACAGGGATACTTCACTCTGAAGCGGGGTTGTATGAGGAACTTATCCCTACTGTACGCTATATTTGGAATATTTTCACTGCTTCCTGAATCACTGCCTTTTCCAACTGTAGTCATCCCTTTATGCTGTCTTCAAAGCCACCAGACTCCATCGAGACAGCGATATGAGCAAGAAAAACAAAATAGTTGTTTGTCTAATGTTGTCTCCAACCATTTGCTTGTTTTTGTTATTCTTGGGAATAATATCTGAGGAAACCCCGCAGTAAAATTAGCTTTTTTGTCCCTGTGGCTTTGATCAGCAAGCAAAACGTCTTCAGTTCCGGAAAGAGTTGACAAACGGTGAAAAAAGTCTAAATGTGGCGTCCAGGTGGCTAGAATATATGTTGCTGCTACCCCGCCAACAGCAGTAAAGCCAATCGACTGTTACAATGGATACATTACTGTATCTTATATCTGGTGTATTGTCTATGTGTTTGCATTCCTGTGTGTTTGGTGTGCTTTGTAAAGTGTGTGTGCTCCTCAGCAGTTGAGAATGGGCCTGTTTCTGTCTTGTCTGAATGGGAACACGGGGCTGTCGGAGTCGGACTTCCCTCTGTGCGGCCCCAGCGTGGCCACGGCCTGGAAAACAACACACACACACACGTTAAAAAAGATTCACCAACCCCAAAACACACCGATGCCAAAGCCCAGGGGACGAAGACACAGCTCGGAAAATGGACACATACACATCTGCACACCTTTCTGATGGCGGTCCAGTCCTCCAGGATGTCCAGGTCAGGGAGCATGTAAACTATATATGGGCGTGGGCGGAGTTAAGGGCGGTGCCACATGGAGCAGGGATTAATTACATTCTAAATATAAGGACATATCCAGAGTGCAGCATTTTGGATTAGGCAGTTTAAATAAATGAAACCCAATCAGAAACCCAGAAGGGAACTGTATTCCCCTACAGCTACATGTCAGATGTTATCTCTTCTCTGTGAGCTATTCTGTAGGATAATACTTTAAGTGGGAATCTATACGCCTATTGCCTGAATCTGCTTTATGGTTTTCATTTTCTTTGTTCTCTTTTTAATTCAGCAGGTGAACCTATATGTTCATCAAATAGTATGTGTGAGCTTAACTGTGTGTTAAACTAAAACGCAGCATTTTCTGTCAGCTCAGATTTGATTCCTGCTTTTTTAAACTGTAGTATGTGCTCATGTGTTTCAGTGTTGGTGTACAGGCTGCTGCCTGAATCTGCTACCCATTGGGCCATTTCAATAACACGTGTCTTAGTTGTGCAGCTCTGGTGTAAATACTCTGGTGTATAAAGGTCTGTGTAGAAGGTGTATTAGCAGTGGAAGGATATCAGACACCACTGAAGGTCTCCTCCTCTTCTTGTCTGGACTCAGAGCGTCTCTCTTCTTCTTCCTTCCCGACAGCTCGTCATTCCACAACTCTGATAGAGAAACAGGCACATAGAAATGTATTGAGCATGATTTCAATATAGAATACAGTGCTGAATGTGTGTGTTGTGTGGATGACACCACACGAAGTATTGAGTGTGTCACCTGATGTGATGTCTATGCTGTGTCTGTCTTCCTCCAGTCTGCGGATTTTCTCCTCCAGTTCACTCTGGACGGTGTCCAACAGCAGCAGCTTCTCACTCTGCAAGCACAAACACATTGACGCATGTTTAGAAAGAGACGTCATAGTTTGTAGCTTCATTCATAACAGATACAATTCTAAATTCACATTTAAAAGCGGTGCAGCTTTTTTGTGCAAGTCTATTTAGCCCGGTATTTTGCCACAGTTGTAGATAAGGAGGAGGCTACAATCATGTTATTGGTAATATACTTCTGTAAAATGAAATACCATGATGTTTGGAATTGAGTGATTCAACCATTTTCGATCATTCCAGAGCGTTAAGTCCAAAACAAAACAAATACAAAATCATTTTCTACTTGTTAAGTAATCTGCTTCAATGTGTTTTTGTACATTCAGACCTAAAGAAAACAACGAACAAATCATTTTGTGTACACAAAGTAAGACATGCTGCTGCATTGATATGATGAAAGTCGGTTTGCTTGTCTTAATATTTGTCGATGATGTGAATGTAGCTGCTGTGATGCAAGGAAATGTCGGACTTGATCATCCACTTGAAATCATTTTTGTATTATACCATATCTATCTGAAATAAAAAATATCACAAAAGATTTGGAAAAGCCCTAAAACACCACAAACACACACCCAAAACCTTTGTTTGTAATTGTGAAATAACACAACAGTGAAGAACTAAAGGTAAATAGTAGGGATGTAACGATATACCGAATATCGCGGTAAATAAATGTCTCAATACCGTCGTGAGACTGACAAAATCTACGGCGATTTTTTTTTTTTTAAACCTTTATTTAACAAGATGGTCCCATTGAGATCATCGATCTCTTTTTCAAGGGAGACCTGTCCAACATGGCAACACGTAGGTTACAACATGAACATAAAACAACAGATAACAATAAAGGACATCGTATTTACATACCAACAACAGTATATTCATATCTCGCCCTGTCAATAAGCCTCACCTTCTTGGCAAAAACTGTATTGTTTTTGAAGTGGTGGAGAGACAATGCACCCATGGCCAAAGCATATCTCTCTGTCCCAGCAACATCAGTACCAAGCAAGAGAGTTTTTTCCACAGCAGGGGATATTGTAAACGCCCAAACATCCCAGCTTCTACCTGGAAATGTGGACATGCTCATATTCCTAAAAGATAACCTTGATGATGCTGAGTGAGTGAGTTAGTGAGTTAGGGTTGAGTTACTTGAAAAACTAAAGTGAAATGACTTATGAGTGAGTGATTTATTCTATTGCAGGGTCTGATTATTATATTGTTGAGACTTTAAAATACTACTATCCTACTAAAATGCTATACAAATCAGATTGATTATTTAATAAAGAAAAAAAACATTCAAGAAAAAAAATATATTTTTCAATATCGTGATAAATATCGTACCGTGGAATTTTTAATCGCGATATTATCGTACCGTGAGTTTTGGGTATCGTTACATCCCTAGTAAATAGTGAGTAAGTGAGTGAGTGAGTGAGTGAGTGAGTGTGTGTGTCTCACCTCCCAGTGCTGGCACGCTGCCTGGATCTCACACTCATACTTGTTTTTCACAGACTCCAGACACAGCTCTCTGTAGATGCCTGATGAAGAGAGAGTGAAACACAGGAGAGTGAGCAAGGAAACAAGAGTGTGTAAGACTATGGCCGGGTCTCTTTTCAAAGATTTCCTCTCCTCGACTCCTTGGTCCTCCGGTAGTGACCCGGATATTAATTTCAGTGCGCCATGTTGAAGGACATCTCATTTCTCTAAATGCACATCGAGGATCGAGCATCGAGGAGGCTCTCTGGAGGAGCTCTAACCGAGGATACACTGATGGTTCCTCCACGGCTCCTCCACGGATGCATTTCCGGGAACAGAGATGTTTCAAAGAGTCTTGACGCACGGCCGGACTTATCTAAGCCAATG